TACTATCTTCGCTATCGCTACCAGAATTAGAATCCGTCGAGCCATAATGGAGGCCATTGTGCTGCAACTGCTTTAAATCATCCATATTTTTGTGCCCAAGGAATCGTTTTTGGAAAATTTTACAAACAGGAATCTTGTTTATTATTTTGACACAGAAAAAATGGCCGCTACTACTTTACCTTTTTAATTCCTATTTTAATAATTTTAATCAAAAGAAATTTCACTTAAATTACGCCACAGACAAAAGAAAATGGTGGTCAATCGATTGAAGTTTTTTATACATGGTTGCATTGGTGCAACACTCAGCAGGAATGGAATATGAAACTGTCAAATTGTATCTATTTGAGGAGAAACAGGCAAATGTACCTAAAAAATTTGAAAAGAAATATCTGCCTGCGGTACGTTCGAATCACAACCGAAATTTGATAAAAAAGAGGCCACTGGAGAACTTTTCAGGTTTTGTCTTCACCGGAAAAAGCTTCAATAAATCTAGTAACAATTGGAAATATTTCCATGTCCAATTTTGGTAATTTTTCCTAATGTATTTTGTTTGTGTAAAATAAGGTCGGTGTTATGCAGACAAACTTTTGTTTGCCAAATTAAATGGCGGCTGCTTAGTTTGCTCGGAGGTGGTTATGTCGAGTTTGGCACAGGGTTGCACGTTCATTATGGTTTTCATCAGTTGCGATCCCGTACGAGTCCGGACTAGTCAGAAATAGTCAGAATCAGTCAGATTTTACTGGAAATCGATCCCGTACTCGGTTCTCTGACTATTGAGAGGACAAAAAAGAGAGTAAATACGGTTCTCTCTCTGTCAGAAGTTACCAGTTTTAGTCCGAGAATTTTTTGCTAGTAAATTCTGGTAAATGTGTCAAACGATCAGCTGTGGTGTGTTTGGCAATCAAATTGTAAACAAAAGAAAAGTGCACTCTGCTAATTCATGTTGAAAAGTATTTAATTACTTGTTTAAGTGGATTCTAATGAATTTGAAAGTATTTTTGGTTATTTACATGTGTAAGCTGAGTGTGTTTACATACAAAATAAGCTAAAATTTACAACCAAAATTTGGAGGTTATGTTGAAGTTGACAGAAGTTACCATTTTTTACTAGAAAGCGATCCCGTACTTTTCAATGTTACTCTCTCGCTCTGAGCGAATTTTTATTTTTTGACAGTTTTACTAGTCCGAGTCCGAGGAATACGGGATTGCACCTATCATGAACCAACGACTACAGATCACCTAATCAGCCATCGTTGTATTTGTAATCGATTTTCAGAAAAAAGTTTTCGTAGCGTTTTTGACGTTTTCCGGGTTTGTTTACATCGTCTTCTACCTCTTCGTAGTGATTTTTTAGCGATTGAATGTGTTTTCTGCAGCGATTTTAATTATAAATTTTGGTTTATTACATATTTATGATATAAAATAAAGTGCTGTGTGATCGGAACAAGTTTGTGCGTATGTTTGGTTTGCCAAAAGGCGTAAATTTGCGTGAAAAGTGGGTGCACGTTTGTGGTCAGAACGTTGGCATTGAAAAATCGACCCGTGGTAATGATATGCGATTGTAAAACACTTTCAATCATGAAAACCATATTTTATGAACTTTTTTTGCTAATTGTCATCAAGTTTCACTTTGTATATTTTATAATAAATACCAATTTAATCGCACTCAATCACCGCGCCTTTTTCGTTTTCTTTGTTTGTTTTCATTCTTAGGCAGATGTCAAAAACACTCAGAAATATACTTTTTTCTTGCTTCTTTGATTAGGTGATCTTGTATTTTTGGTTCATGGGTTTTCATGGCTATTGCCAACACGAAATGAGAATTTCAGATGTACATAAGGCCCTGTCTCCACAGGAAAACACTGATGTCGTGAAAACTATGTCACAAAATATATTTCCAATGGAGACCGCCTATTTCTCATGTGCTGCAATATATGTCAGCGCTTATTGCTTGACATCTATTGCAGGCAATTCGATAGTTTGACGGCCATATTTTCATTTGTAAGAAAGCGTGCTGGTGGTAACATCGATGAAATTTTTATATTAAATCAAAATAAAAGTCTGTTCCTTATTGGATTATTTATGATTACGTTTTAGGAAATTATTCAGCAAGTTTTTTAAAGATTTAAATGTTTTTAAACACCGAAATTGAGAGAATGTTGTCTGGTGGCGTCATGCGGCAAATGCTTATTTCAAGACATCAAAGTGCCCACACACAAAAACTTGCAATCACATTGCTCGTCAAAATGACAGTTGGTAGGCCATCGCTGTTCGCCTGTGGAGTTCTGCGGTAACGCGCACAATTTAAAATTTTTGTATATGACAACCCCGAATTTGCTGCAGTTTGACCAAACAAAATTAGTTTGCTGTGAGAGTCGCCAAACTCGCTCTCTCCGAGTTTGCTGCAACAACAATTGCACGCAGTTTGCCAAACAAAATTTCTGCATAACACCAACCTAACTCAAACCACAGAGTAAACTACACTGGTCTACAAGGGTTTTGCGAATAAGACGGGACCTGGTGTTTCCGAACGGATTTTTCGTGCTGAACACGAATCTGGGGTCCAAAACTTCCCATCACGTCACGTTTTCGAGAAAAAAGGTGTTGAAACCCCTAAAAACAGCGTTTTTGGCCATTTTTGAAAAATTGTAGAGCTGAACCCTGACGTGCTACAAACTTTGTATATGTCAGAAATTAAAGGCTAAATCGTGCCCTTTCGAATGAGCCCTATGCCGAATTAATCGCATGCTCCCTTAGATCAGGGGGTGTATTTGTGTCTAGGAGTCCAGGGAAAATTGAACGCAGAAAGAATTTCATCTTAAACGACCATATAAAATGAATGATGCTAAGGTCTTAACTACATTAAGAGTCGCTGATTACGAATCTGAAGTTAGATTTTAAAAATTCAAAATGGCGGATCCAATATGGCGGACTTAAAAATTTTTATTTAGCGAATTTCAGTTTATTTTTTATATCCACCATATTCGACCCGTCATCTTAAATTTTTAAAATCTAACTGCAGATTCGTAATCAGCGACTTTTAATATAGTTAAAACCTTGGCATTATTAATTTTCTATGATCGTTTAAGATTAAATTCTTTCTGTGATCAATTTTTCCTGCACCCCTAAACACAAATACACCCCCTGCTTTAAGGGTGCACGCGATCAATTCGGCATAGGGCTCATTCGAAAGGGCACGGTTTAGCCTTTAATTTCTGATATATGCAAAATTTGTACCACGTCAGGGTTCAGCTCTATAATTTTTCGAAAATGGCCAAAAACGCTGTTTTTAGGGGTTTCAACCCCTTTTTTCTCGAAAACGTGACGTGATGGGACATTTTTCGTGTTCAGCACGAAAAATCCGTTCAGAAACACCAGGTCCCGTCTTATTCGCAGAAAAAAAGTTGAAATTTGTAGACCAGTGCTATTAATTGGTACTCGGTAACTTTACCAGCTGTGAACGTTCTTTTCAGCTTTATTTTGTTAGTCTGGTAAACTATGTTTATCAACAGCTGAATCGTAGCTTCTTTCAAAAAAAACATATGTAAATAAATTGTAACAGAAAATTGATGGAAACGGAAACGGGCGCATTTAAAATTGAATAAAAATCAAACAGAGGATTTCAGTTTACCAACTACCACAAAAATGATCAAGCTTTAGTAACGCGATAATTCGGTAACCGATATACCGATAATAAAAAAAGCTAGGTGTGAATACCTCTAATGTTACAGAAATAAAAGCTCTGATCCAGTACTCCATGAACTTACAGCTTTTTACACAAACTTGCAGGAAAAATGATTCCGTACTCCGAATCCCTCCAAAATCCTGCAAATAAGAGCGATTTTTGGAAAGTTGTGTAGAGAATGAAGTTGCAAGATTTTACCCGAACTTTTTCTTCTGGAAAAATCATGAAAAGTGTCAAGCGATCATTGGTTGACGTTTTTACAGGAAAAATGTTTTTTTTTGTTCCCGTGCGCAGAAGTGGAAAACTTTTGACTGCCATTCACCTGGCAGTGGCCAGAAGCGATTCTTGTGCGTACGGTTCAAATCGCAGCTTACAACGTCCGGATATTTATATCCACGTATCCTCTGGGTAGCAACCAAACACCCGTTTGGGAGCGAGCTAAAGTGAGAAGGCGTAAAACTTCGCGTCCGCTGAGTTTGGGTCCCCGCCCAATGAAAAATAAAAAAACAGCCTCGGATGAGAAGTGAAAGTGGGGGTTTCTGATGACGACCACGGCAAACGTATAAAGACTGCGGCAACGCAGAGAACGTTGAATATAAATAAGCAAATGAATGAAATATAAATTAGTTTTAAATTCAAATAACTCAATATTATTTTATTGCAAACACATTTAATACAAATCGTTTTATTTAATAAAGCAAAACAGCAGCTTGAAATTGACATTCAAATCTCGTTAGAGGTCAACATTAGAATTCAATTAGAGAATTAATATTTTCTCGAGTCGAGAACTATGTCCCATTCTCGATAGCTTTTCGAGACTTTCTCGAACGTTTGAGATTGGAGAATGTGGCCAGTTCTCCAATAATTCTCTAATCGATAACTATCCTTAATGTTTCCTGGGAAGGGGCGTGTTTCTTTATTCATTCCAAACGTTCGGAATACATTTTTTTGTTTACTTAAGAGCGAAATACACCACACAAGCGGTTTGACAAACCAAGCGAAATT